TCTGCAGTCTGGTGTTACCTACATCTTCCTATTCAGAAGGCAGAATTTCCGAGTTCTGAGTACAATCGAAAGCAGCACGACTGCAGTTTTTGTGTTGGATGTAAAAGAAACACATTAACAAGAGAATTCTGAGTAAAACCAAAGTTACTTTCCCTAGTCACTAGTTACTTTGAAAGTAACGAGTAACTTGAAGTAACTGAGTTACTTTTGAGAGAAGTAACTAGTAATGTAACTAAGTTACTATTTTAAAGTAACTTACCCAACACTGGTCATTACTAGTTAACGTTAAAGGGCTGGTTGGCTCAACAGAGCTCTGACTGTTTGTCAGCCTGGCTACAGAGCTGAAGAGAAACCTGGGGTTGTTCTTATTGTCTTCGCTCAGTGATGAATAGTAAGATGTTCTGGCTTGACTGACGTGAAATCCATGATCCTGATCCTCCACACTGATACTGGCTCACTTCTGCTGGGCTCAGACAAAGACGTCTTTGTGGAGGCTGTGACTCTGTTTACCCCAGAAGAGCTCTCCCAACGAAACACATGACTCCAGTGTTGTTGTTCTGAAATCGATCAGCACGCTGGAGCCTGAGCTCGTACGATGGCAGCAAAGATGGATGTCTGTGGGTAACCATGGGCCTAATGCTTCAGTCTCTGAACGGCCCCCTGCTGAGCAACAGCGCCCCCTGTAGGACAGGACGTCCAGAGAGTCGCAGTTCTGCATTAGATTAGGAAATCTCTGACTTCACCTATCAGGAAGCTACATCCATAGTTTATGAACGATCATTATGGTTGATCTGTGATGTCATTAGTGGGCGTGTCCTTAGTGTAATATCTGTGTTTTATTAGTGCTGAGAGTCTGCTCTGTGCACCGAGGCAGCAATGTGAAAACCCTGTGGCTGTGCAGCAGGATGCCGGCGCTGCCTCTGAGCCCGCAGCTCGACTTAATGAGTGTTCATCAGATCATGTGTGAGCCGCCTCTCCTGGTAATGACGTTACAGCGAGCAGCGAGCCTTCTGCAACATGAGGAGCTCCGTCTGACGGCTGCCTGCTGCCAGGCACGCACAGAGGGCTTCACGCGTCCTCAGATGAGCCCGCGGACAGCTTAATGAGTGTGTGGGAAACGCCTCAGAGCTCAAACCACTTAAACGCAAACTGATCTGTGTGCGGCCGCCACTTCCTGTGAATAATTCAGAATAAAAGCCCAGCAGGAGGCGCCGCTGCTGTGGGCAGGTCCGGTCTGAGCGCAGAGCACAGACCCTCACACCAAAACCTCCAAGAACAAACTGTGTGCTCGATGGAGTCCAAACAAACTCACCGCCGTCAGTCAGATGTTCAAATATGACCTCGCGTGGACCCAGCCGGCCAATCGGCAGCCTGCAGCTGAACAGAGCGGCCAATCATTGCCTTGTGTGGGCAGGCAATGCTCTACAGATACTGAGGAGTGTTACGTAACCCTGAGTGTGTGTGTGTGGTGTTGCTAGGCAACAGAGTCCATAGGTGAAGGAATCAAAACCATCTATCCTCCTACACACACACACACACACACACACACACACACACACACACACACACACACACACACACACAGTACCTGTGTGAAAGCACTCAGAAAGAAATAATCAGGTTTTCTCTCAAAGCACTCCTACACAGTACAGCAGTGTTCTTTATTGTGTGTGAGAGTGTGTGTGTGGGCAGCAGCCTCTCTCTCCTCAGCTATAATACTTCCTATTAAACAATATAAGCGGAGAGCAGAAACAGACGCCTTCAGTCGGGCTCAGAGACGTCATCCAACAAGTTTCTCAAACTGCGAGGACCCCGTCACAGGAAGGACCTGATTAACTGTGACACGCCGTTTAAGAAACTCCATGTTTGATTTTCCAGAACAGAAATCTGAACGTTCGCTCTGTGAATTCAGGATGAAACGTCTTCTCGCACATCACTGCATAAATCACTAAAACCAGAACAACTGTCCGGATGTAAATCATCAGTTATCAGTTTAAACTGGACCTCTTCTGCTTCTCCTCACTTCCTGTCACATGACCCCTGCCCCTGTGCTGGATTTTCATATTAAACATGAAGCTGGCGATCGTGGCTCAAGAGTTGGGAGTTTGTCTTGTAATCGGAAG